TTAGAACTGGGACATTCGTTCCTTCTGGTAGGAGGTATCGCTTGATTTCGCACCCTCATTGTTTGTCATTTAGCCGTAAAAGTCAACGTCGTTGTTCTTTACGATCCCGTTAGCCTTCAAGGCTGGAGAATTTATGGAGAACGAAAGCAGACACAAAAAATCTGATTGAAGATACATACGTTAGACAACATTTAAGGTTCAAGGCTGCCAGCGTAATCCTAACACTAAGACTTGAGGCGATTCTTTTGCCAAAACCGAGGGGTAAGCAAACAACCATGGCATTGCAAATCTTATCAGCCATCGGAGCATTTATCACCATGACGAGAGCAGTTTCTTCTGCTACAAGCACTAAGTTTAACTTCTTTTTTAGCAAGTAAAGTGAATTTCACTTAATCACCTCCTCAGCCTGTGCCATCTGCCCAACCTCAAATCATAAAGCTGGTTTACCTACACTCCTGTCCCATTACTCTTGTCGATCCCTCCAATTGGCCCAGCACCATACAGCCAATGGCATTCCGGGAGGCTGGCCGCATTCCCTTCACCACATTAAGTCGTCTAGCAAAAAGTAAATGCGATTTGTGGGGAAATCACGAACTACCCTCCCGGAGGACCCAAATTGGCCCTACTTTGACTCCCCTTGGGATTTGTTGCGTGACTGTCAGGACTACAACTCTGACATCTCTAACACCTCCAGCCATTTGGGAGCTTGTATCCTCTCCCACATGCTCGGTTTTCTCTCCGCCTACATCTTTCCTTTTGTTGGCCTCTTCGGCGTTGTCTCGAACATCCTTGTTACCTATATCTTCCTCTTCGTCTTTCGCAAGCCGTCGCGTCAGATGATTTACCTTGGCTGCGTGGCAGCCGCCGATGTCATCACCATTATCCTTTTTGGCTGGATTTGGGTATTTCCCGCAAAAGGTCTACCTTACGCCACTGGTGCGAGGGTCTACTTTTTCATCCTCAATGTCAACATCTATAGTTGCAAAATCATGCGCTATCTCTACTCCTTCTCCTCATGTCTGAGCTCCTCCCTCTTTCTCCTAACCGCCTTCGATCGCTGTTTGTGTGTTTACTTTCCCCTCAAATTTGCTCGAATCTCGCGAAGAAGAGCGTGGGAGGCTGTCGGTGTAATTACACTCTTCTCAGCTCTTGCGATGCTACCCTTTGGTTTGTTAGTTGAGCATACCTTATCGAATGGCAAAATAATCTGTTGGGTAAAGGTGGGACCAAATGCTCTGCAAATTTATCATGTCCTCCTAGCCAACTCCAGCTTACTGCAAACCATCTTAGTGATTATTATAAACATTGCCTTATTAATTCGCCTCCGTCAGAGTGCTGTGCTCCGTGAGACAATGTCCAAATGCACCAGTGCCAATCGCGAGATAGCAGCCTCTATGCTACTGGTCATTCTCTCCACCATTGTGGTCATTTGTACACTGCCTCAATCAATTGCCTATGTCTTCTCCACAATTCTGGCTGAGGTGCTTGATGGAGATACAGGGCGCACAGCAGTCCGTATAGCCTACAATATCTCCGATCTCGGATGGCAACTCCTTTTCTTTCAACAGGCCTCCAATTGGGCTCTCTACATGAAGCGGATGAAGAACTTTCGCAGAGCTACCTTGCGTCTTCTACGATGTCACTGCAACAGAGGTCGAGGATTGGTGGACGATGCCTTCGGCTCTATTCATTACCTTTCTACAAAAGCACGTTATCTAACCAGCGAGCTTCGAATTACTCGCGGTGACGTCTCAAAGGTCTATGGCATGCGCTTCGCAACTGCCAAGAAGGGTGGTGTCTCTGACTTTTGGAAAATGAAGTACTCAGGCGCAGTGTTACACACAAGTTTCGGAAACTTTCAATGTCAAGGGAAGGGAGGAAATGACAGTAACAACAACAACATTTCAGAGATCTGCCGCTACACATACCGTGGAAGCATGCGACACACCACTACAATGTCAACAATTACGCCCGGTACCGTCTACGCAGACATCGACACACCGACCGAGCCTGCTCTGGAGTCGGGCCGTGTATTGACTAGATTTTGATGCACTGATGGGCAAAACTAGCATCGTTATTTTGCCACATGCAGTCCTCACCTTTATTACCACTTTTGTATGAACGTTACATCTATGTAAGAGAGGAAACATGCACGTATGCCTTTGTCCTGACAGTCTTGAGTAGCGAGTCGATCAAATGGACTGAGTAGAGAAGGGCTATAAAGGAACCACACACTTGACCATTTCTCCCATTCTGCCTTCTCATTTCTTACAGGTAATAGTGGAGGTTTCTTGCCTTGTTTTTT